TATAAAAGCTCTTTCAAAGTTCTTGTCTACTAATTTCATCTTCCTTTCCATTTCTGAATCTGTTTCTGTTTATTGATTTTTCTTATGTTTATGTGTCACATCTTTCTACTTCTTGTAATATATAGCACTTTTATGGGAAGCAGGGCATTACAGTAGTATGTTGTTGAATACTTGGATTTTGTATTTTTCTTTTAAAGAGTGTTGGATTTTGTTTTGGCAGACAATTAAGTTGTTGTGGGTAAGCTTGATCCTTTTGTAACTTATGTATAAATTTTATTAGAGTGGACCTAAATTAGCCTTTACCCTTAAATAAGCTTTAATATAGGAGCTGGTATATGTCTATAATTATGCTCTACACAATGGTTAGGATGTTCAACAAAGTGTCTCTATTCTTCCTACTTGAAACTCAAACATGTCACAGACCAATGTGAAATTACTGGAAATTATTCAGCTTTTTAATTCTTTGTCTCATGAAGTTTCACCCTATACGTATGTATCACAGTATTCAGTAACATATTTAAGGGAATGCATGTGTGTGTATTTTTGGAACTCCTTTTCTTAGTAGCATCCTTTTTCTGTGCTCTGTCTTGAAAACTCCAGGTATCTCAACCTTTCTAAACTCCATCTGTCTTTTCAAACCAGTGAGGTGATGGTGTTCTGCTTGGCTTTCTTCCCCCTACTCCGTGGTCTAGAAAATGTACCGGGTAGAAGTCTAAAGTGACCAAGGTCTCATTTTTTTTCCTCTTCTCTCCGATATTACAGTATTCTACTGTCTAATGCCCAGTGTCTAAACTCAACTTTTAATTTTTTTTTCAGTTTTATAGCATTTTTTAAGTGATGGGAGGGTAAGTTATTATTTCATGTCCAGGGACCAGCACCCGGTTTTAAAAAACAGATTGTTTCTAAGCTCTGTTTGAAGTTTTATGGTAAAAACTTATTTATGTTTTCTTAAAAAACTTAAATTATGTCATGTTCTGTTTTTATATATTAAGCTGGAATTTTGCTTCCTATAACTTTTTCACAGATTATAGTTATATCTTAAATCTGTAGGCTTCAGATACATTGCATAGATCTGTTTCTTTCTTTCTTTTTTTTTTTTTTCACATGACAGCTGTTTGAAATTTGAAGACAGAAAGTACTTTTTTTTTCCCCCTGAGAAATGGTTTTCTGAATCTTTCATAATCTTGGATGCTTTTTGGATATTGTCAGGTTCAAAATATTTTTTCTAAAATATATTTCCTATAAATAATAAAAACATTCCAGATGTGGTCTGATGAAATCATGCATATGGGATTGATCTTGTGTTATCAAATGATTAATAACTTTTATTTAAATATTGTTACTAGCACACTACCATAGAATCTATATAACGTCAACAAAATGCCAGTTTTAGCCTCTTTTTTATTACAAAATATAGGGTTATGCAGTCACAGAATTCGAAGTAGAAAAAAACTATTGGGAACAGTTTACGCAACCATGCCATTCTACTGAGAAATCTTTTTTTTTTTTTGAGACGGAGTCTCACTCTGTCGCCCAGACTGGAGTGCGGTAGAATGATCTTGGCTCACTGCAACCTCCACCTCCCTGGTGCAAGCAGTTCCCCTGTCTCAGTCTCCCAAGTAGCTGGGATTACAGGCACATGCCACCACGCCCGGCTAATTTTTTTGTATTTTTAGTAGAGATGGGGTTTCACCATGTTGGTCAGACTGGTCTCAAACTCCTGACCTGAGGCAATCCACCAGCCTTGGTCTCCCAAAGTACTAGGATTACAGGCATGAACCACGGCACCCGGCCTCTACTGAGAAATCTTTATTGCCTCCCTGTCACTTTCAGCAGAGCCCAAAGTCTTAATGGTGCAAACACAGCCTTGTCTACTTTTCTTCATTCGTTATTCATCTTTGGCTCTATGATTTTTTGCTTCAGTAATCTTTTGTATTTCATAAATAGATTTCTTTCAGGGGTTTTTTTCCATGCTGTTTTCTTGCCTAGAATGTCCTTTCTAACATGATTTCTTACCTAAAATTACATATCCTTTAAGAATCTTTACAGATACTGATTCATCCAGGAAGACTTTCTTCTTTTTAAAGCACTAAGGATGAGCTGGCTGCTCCTTCTCTTGCACCCATAATTTTTTGAATAACTCTATCATTGCATTTAGTACATTTTACCATAATATCCAATGTACTTGTCTATCTGGAATACTGAGGATCTTGACTAGTATTATTTATTATTGTATCACTAGTGTTTAGTAAAACATCTGGGACATAGCATAAGTGAAATAAATGGCTATTAAGAAGAAAATGAGTTTTACAAATTGGAAAGTCGAGTTCTGAGAAACCAACTTGTCTAAGGACACAGAGCTAAATCATCATAATCAAGTCATAGAACTGAAATTCTACATGTTTTTGAAATTGTAGTTTAATTTTTGAAATGTTAGTTTTTGCATCTTAAATAGAGAAAGCTCATGCCAGGCAACATAGTTTCCTAGAAAGTAGTGTTAGGCAAATGTTTATGTTTTAAGACTTTCTTGGGGAGTGTAGTCTTTGAGATGTGGGAGAGAGGGAAAAAGGAGTGAGGCAGGAAGTAAAGAAAATGAATATGAGGGGATGTGTTACTGAGTTAGCCATCGCTTGACGTCAAGTATAATGACTGTTTAATTTGGTAGGACTATTGCTGGAGAGACTGCATGATCTACTGGTCTTATGACAGTCCTTCTAGAGAGAGGAAGGGAGATAATTTATGTGCCAGATTCGTCTCTTACTGGTCTGAGATTGGTTCCACAAAGATGGCCTCTCTAAGGTTATAGATTGAATAGCATGACTGTCAATTGGGTTCCAGGACATCTGTAAATGTCAGGGAGGACTTATTTCAATCTGCTTCAATTGTACCATGAAAAATATGTCACAACTTTCTTATATAGCTCTTATTTGTTTTATGAAATTTTTACATAATAGAATTGGCTGTTTGCTAAAGTTGAGACTGCATTTTGACTGTTTTTCCTCTCAAGCATTCTGGGCCCTGGAGTGGAGAAAAGGAAGTAAACAGAAAAATGGCAAGCATGATGTGTAATGAATTAAAGTTATTTCCCCCAAACTTTCCCCTAATTTTCTAAATGATAGATACCAAATCCAAGAACCTTTTTTGGGAAATAATGTTGTCCCTAGAGATCCCTAAGAGCTTTGGTAGTCATTTTAATTCATCATTTTTAGAAGTTCTAAACTGTTTTTATGTTTTTGAATTTGATAATTGTCATTTACCAATTTCTCCTACCCTAAGAGATAGTATATAAAGCATGTTCTTTAGTAGACTATTGCAAGGACAGAAAACAGTGGTCAGAAAACAAAATAGCATATAAAAACATGCTTAGTCAAGGCTTTTTGATTCCCTTATCAACTCTTCAGAGATAAGTATGGTTAAAAGTTTGGTACATATTCTTCCAATTTTTATGCAACTTAGTGTAAACTTACACCTAGAGAAACTTTTCTATATTCTCTGCTCTGTACCTAGTCTCTTAAGCTGGCTAGCTTTCTTTTCTCTTTCTTTTTTTCCTTCCTTCCTTCCTTCCTTCCTTCCTTCCTTCCTTCCTTCCTTCCTTCCTTCCTTCCTTCCTTCCTTCCTTCCTTCCTCCTCCCTGCCTCCCTCCCTCCCTCCCTCGTTTTCCTTTTTCTTTCTTTCTCTTCCTTTTTCTTTCTGTCTTTCCTTCTCTTCCTTTTTCTTTCTGTCTTTCCCTCTTTTCTTCTTGTAATTACACACATTACTGTGATGATTATTCTATCTGCATAACAACTTTGGGTAAATTCATATGTAATCACTAAAAGTGGAATTGTTTGTTCAAAGGGAAGGCAGGATAGGTATTGCAAAATATATTGTACCATTGGACCCTCCTTAAATGGTTGAGAATGCCTGGTTTCATCCTCATTCAAATGAGTATTAAGTATTTTAATCTTTGCTAATCTGATGCATAAAAAATCTCATTTTTCTGATTTGTATTTATTTGATTATTAAGATTCAAGATCTTATTATTTGTTTACTGGCCAATTCTGTGAATTGTTTTTTGCAAGTCTTTTCATGTTTGTTTGTAAAGTTGGTAAATTATTTATTTTTATTCTTTTTTATTTACAAAGATAGGTCTGTTTATTTTAGTATTAATTTGCAGACAGTTTTGCTATTTTGCATAGTAACCTATTTCAAATGGATAGAAAACAATTTTTTCCATTATTTTAAAATTTGCTTATAGTATTTTATAATTTGGTTTGTGGGATTATTTGTTATGAAATGTTTGAATGACTAAGTTCTCAAATGTGTTGATCTTTTCTCTTTATAGTTTCTGGGTTCATATTATGAAGATCTTTTTCATTTTAAAATTATGAAGTATTCTTTTTGTTTTTACATTTTAATCTTCAAGTTGTCTTGATTTTAGTTTTTTTTCTTTTTCTTTTTTTTTTTTTTTTTGAGGCGGAGTCTCCCTCTGTCGCCCAGGCTGGAATGCAGTGGCGCGATCTCGGCTCACTGCAAGCTCTGCCTCCCGGGTTCGCGCCATTCTCCTGCCTCAGCCTCCTGAGTAGCTGGGACTACAGGCACCCGCCACCTCACCCGGCTAGTTTTTTGTATTTTTTAGTAGACAGGGGGTTTCACTGTGTTAGCCAGGATGGTCTTGTTCTCCTGACCTCATGATCCGCCCGCCTCGGCCTCCCAAAGTGCGGAGATTACAGGCGTGAGCCACCGCGCCTGGCTTTGATTTTACTTTTAAGCATAGCAAGAGGTTGTGTAATACCTAAAACGAAATAGTGACTCCAATTTCTGCACGCAAAACATATTAGGTAGTCTACTTTTTACTCATAGATTTTAAAGGTAATCTCTATTATATATTGGAGTGTCATAAATCTTTGGGATCTTATCTTGTCTATTGATATATACTCTTATGCGCTATTATTATATAATTTCATTATCATGAATTCATAGTATATTCATACATTTGCTTAGTCATTTGTCTGTTTTAGGTACCGTGTGAAGGTCTGGGCATATAACAAGAAACAAGAAAGATAAGGCCCTTGCTTACATAGAACTTGGTGAAGAATCTAGACCATAAAAAGCACACAGAGAAAATGTATCACAAATTGTGCTAAAGCTCTGTAAAAGGATTAAGATGGAGTGTCCCAAGACTGAATTAGACAGAGTGCCCTTGAAAGAGGTGAGTTGATGAGCAGTCTTTATTTCTTATGCAAGCTGAATTCCCCTTTATCACGTAACAGAACATATTTACAGGTTCCAGGGATGAGGCCATGGACCTTTCTGGAGGCTCATTATTCTGCCACCGGCAAGAGGAGAGAGAACTGTTGTGCTGTGTGTGAGAGGAAACCTGGGATGAGCTAGGGATGGAAGCTATGGTCTTTTTTATTATGGCAAAGAGTTTAGATTTAAGTGAAAAGCAATCATGGGGGTTTTTGACAGGGCCATACCATGATTTGATGTAATTTTTCAAATATCTATTTTTAACAGAGTTTAATTGTCAATACAATCATTTACTCTTAGATGTTAACCCTAGAACAGAAAAGCTGAAAATTTTTCAAAAAGAAAAAACAGGAGGAATTTTGTTTGAACCGTGCTGAATTTATTGAAATATTTTATCAAGTGGTATCTTTATAATATTTAGTCTTTTGACTGTACAGGATTTATACTTCCATTCATTTGTGTTTTTAAATGTATACTTTAAAAAAATACTCTTTACCTTGGAACTGTGTATTTCATGTGAGATTTAACCTTATATATTATGTAAAATTAAAAAATATTTTAATGTTATATTACTGATTATTTTTAGTTAAATTAAGTGCTATTGATTTTGTATATTTTTAAAAAATCTAGCAACCTGGTAAAATTCCCTTATTCTAAAAATTTTCACTCAATACTTTTAGGCTTTCCAGTTAGATAATTTTCATATAATCTTAATTCTTTCATTTTATGTTTACATATTTAACTTAAATTGCACTGATAAAGGCTTACAGTATAGAAGTGATAAGTGTAGGTATTGATTAGTAATGAATACTTACTTTATTAAGTGACTTACTTTAGCATGCATCATTTTTGTCCATTAGTGTGTAATGTAATGAATTATATCATGATATTTCTTCAGTATTAAACTATTTTTTTATTTCTGGAAGCAATGAACACTGCTTTTCTCTTGGTACAATATTCTTTTACTTCTGCTGGACTTTATGAGCTAATATTTACATTTAAGATATTAATAAAGTATATACATAAGTGATGTTTATCATAATTTTTGTGCTATCTTTATTCATTGAATACTAATGATATAGCAGCTTTATGAATAATGTTTGAAGGATCTCATGTTTTTCTATGCTCTGGAGCAAAATTAAAAACTTGACCCTTTGCTAAGATTTATGAATCTGGTGCCTTTGTTATGGGTCTATTCAGGGTTTCGAAATATTTTGTGAAGTTGGTCATTTATATTTTCCAATAAAATAATTGTATTGGCCAGGCACAGTGACTCACAGCCATAATCCCAGCACTGTGGAAGGCCAAGACAGAAGGATCACTTGAGGCCAGGAGCTCAAGACCAGCGTGGGCAACATAGCAAGCCTCTACCTCTACAAGAATTAAAAAAAAAATTAGCTAAGCATGGTGGCATGCAGTTATAGTCCCAGCTGTTTGGGAGGCTGAAACAGGAGGATTGCTTGAGTGCAAGGGTTTGAGGCTACAGAAAGCTGTGATAGAGACACTGACTTCGAGCCTGGATAAAAGAGTGAGACCCTGTCTCTAAAATAATAGTAGCTATTATTATTATATTTGTAAGTTTATTGCTATAAAGTTATACTTTATTCCTGTATAACACTTTGACCTCTAAATTTTAGCCTTTAATCTGTGTCTCCATGGATGATTTTTAAAAAATCTTGTTTCTTTATTCTTGGGAATATCTGTAAGAAGTTTTTATTTTAAAAGTATTTTGAAAAATGTAGCTTACTTTAATCAATTATGCTTATTTAAAGTATTAATTTCTATTTTCCTTTTATTGTTTCTGCCATCTAACTTTCTTCAAGAGAAGACTGACTACCAGTGCACGTGGATGGATAATTTCTTGATAAAATGGATGACTCACTGTGCTGAAGAATAAAGAAAAAAATGTCTGAGTTCATTATGCATTTCACTCCTTAGATAGAATATTTTAAAATTTTAGCACTTAGATTTCTAAATTCTTTTGATTCTTCTTTGATTCATTTATCATAGTATCTTGCTCTTGATTTATGGATGCCATATGTTGTAAATTTCCGTGGAGAATGCTAACTTAATCTCTTTTTTATTGTATTAACTCTGTTTCATTAGAGAAATGATATTTACTGCGTTTGAGCTTCTTTTCAGAATACTGAGTATGTTCCTGTGTCACCTTATTTGCCAATAGTGCCAATTGTTAGAATGGGGTGTATAGATCCATCCTTTGCAACAGGAGAGGACCTCCTCAGTAAGGCACTGAGCCAGGACTCTATGCAGCCGTACAAACAGGTAAGTATGCTTACCTTCCTCTCCGGGTTACAAAGTCAATTTGCGTTGCTGCAGGCATATCTTTTCACCATGACAACACTTGGTGTTTTTTTTTGTTTTGTTTTTGTTTATTGTATTTTCTTTACTAGGGAAACACTACACACTCACAATGAAAAGACATTCTTTTCCTGTCTGTGGTGGAATCGTCCAAGTTGTTTGGCTTGATTTCTAGTGTCGACTTTCTAAACCAACAAGATTTTAATCCTCTGATGGCAGAATGTTAGGAGTGTCTGTTTCTGGGCTGGATTTTAGTTGCCGAGGTGGTAAGTATGTGGGGAAAGAATTACTGTAGAAATTAAAGTTTCCAGAGATTTTATTGCGTGCTGAGTCATTTATCCTTTTTGTGTGTTGGGGCTAAAAGTTATCTGGAGAACTATTTATCTTTTCTCTCTCTTCTAATGCCAGTAATCGAAGTCTTCTTTGCCAAAGTCCCAATTTTCTATTGATCAAGCTAAACTTCTGCATGATCAAGCTAAACTTCTGCATGGTGTGAATGCTATAGTTAAATGCATTCTGTGTTTAGGAAAGGCACAGTTCTTAAAGTCACGCTGCTATCTCACACCGGGCTTCCATATCACTTCCTCTTTCAACCCTGAGTTGTGTGTTATTTTGTTGAAAAAATATTATTTCTAATGTTTCAAAAAGCTTTCCTTTGCTTGAGTTCAGTTATGAGTGATATCTACTTGTTATCATCAATAAATTTTTTAGCTGATGTGATGACTGAAGCCTGTAATCCCAGGACTTTGGGAGACTGAGGTGGGAGGATCACTTGAGCCCATGAGTTCGAGATCAGCCTGGGCAACATGGTGAGACCCGGTCTCTCCGGAAAAAAAAAAAGAGAATTTCTTCAATTTCTTGTCCATTGATAGTGCATGTCTCTGGCATAATGCTTTTCTTTCTCTTCATTTTTCTTACGTGTATTTTTTGTTGGTAATGAAAATAATATTTGGGAAAGAAAAAAATGCATCCAGATCAAAAAATTGGAATTTGTAATTTGGTTCATTTAACAATTAATAGTTTTCCACACGTGTTTCTTCTTCCAATAATTTCTAGGGCATTCTAAACTTTCAAATGTCACCCATGCACTTTGCCACTTTTAATGAAAGCTGAGGAGTTACAGTAGAGTTTGTTCAGAATCTGTGGCTCCCCAGTGATGGAGAGCACTTTGCTAAGCATGTTATTGAAATGGGAAGGCTTAATGGCCTTGTTTGTCCTGAGGCTTTTTTTTTTCAGTCTCTGAAAATAAAATTATATGCTAATATGTAGATGAATTCTATATTTTTTGAAGTTACACAGCTCTTTACTGGAAAGGACCTCAAATACAATTTCTCTAAAAACTAATATAGATCTCTTCTATTATTCCAAAAAGTCTGCCTCATTTTTTAAAACCTGTCAGGCGTGTTTGATCTAACCCTCCATATCCAGGTAGGTAAGTTGTCATTTAACTACATTTTGCAGGTGTGGCAAGTGAGGCTCATAAAATTTACGTAATTCTCAAGATACCTAGTAAGAAAACGCTAGAATCTAAATTGTCTATTTCTAGTTAAAGTTATGCCGCTATCTCCCACAGGGCTTCCATATCACTTCCTCTTTCAACCCTGAGTTATGGATTATTTTGTCAAAAAAACTATTATTTCTAATGATTAGGAAAGTCTTCCTTCCCTTGAGTTCAATCATGAGTGATATCTATTTGTCATCATCAAGAAATGTTTCACCCGAGCTGCTCCTACATCACATGTGCTCTCTAAATTTAATAATAAAAAATTCGTAAAAAAAATTTTATCAAGTATTTAATCTGTGCGATACACCACTATGGCCAGAAGGGATGTGCAAAAGTGAATATGGCATAATTCTGAAGAGTTAACAATGATCAGGTTGAAGAAAGAAGCAGGGAAGATCTAAAATCATGTCACTGTGCTCATTGACAGAGACAATAACCATTATAAACAACCAGAAGAACAATAGAAAGATGCACAGTAAGCACAGGTTTTTATTGTCAGAATAACATCTTTATGATGTTATAGAACTGGAGTTGCTTCCGGCATGTTAACTTAAAAAAGTGTCCTGGAGTATCCTGGAGAATTTGATGTCTCTAGAAACTATTGCCTATCTTGTGTCATCATGGATGCTTCCTGGGCTCCCGGTGGCTCCTTGGCTCCAGTTATTGACCATGACATTTGGTGTCTGTCCTACTTGGCTTTGGATGTTCTTGACCCCTGGATGCCCCTGTTCACCCCTGTGACCTGGGCCTCTACCAGGATCTGAACCTGCTGATTCCTCGCTGCTTCCTTGCTGCTTTTCAGTACTGACTTCTGCAAATTCCTGGTTTAAATTCTGCTTAGCCCAGCAGTGAGTGCCAGTGGGGACATATGTAGGCAAAGCGAATGGAGGGTTACATAACTGCCCAAACAACTCTTGCCAAATTCAGTTCAGCCAGAAGTATTCATTTTGATGTGGGTTAGGTATGTAGAAAAGAAATCTTTTGATCAGACCTCTTAATTTAGTAATTCTTGGTTTCAATATGCCCTACAATAAAGGAGTCCTAGTTTTATTATTATACAATACACTGAGTAGAGACAATTAAAATATATTCTGTAACTAAGAGATCTGTTGTAGAAAAGATAACTAAAAATAGAAAATCCCAAATGCTATCATTCTGGATAGAGGGCAATCCACAATAGTGAGGTAGGTTTAAAAATATAAAATTATCCTATTTTATTTGGATAGTTCAGGACAATGGACACATTTAGTTTTACATTATTTGAGCCTCTGGTTTAGAAGGAGATCTCTTCTCTCTCTTTCTCTTTCTCCTTCTCCTCCACCACCCACCTTCTCTCTCCTTTCCTTCCTTTCTCTATCCCTCTTTTTTCTTTCTCTCTATCTCTGTCTTTCAAGCTGAGTATATCCATTATATGTAAAGAGCAGTTAGAGGGACCTTGGTCTCCAAGATAAACTAATTGTAATAAATGTTTTCATAGAAGTGTCTCATGCAAAACAAGTTTGCTGAAAATGGGAGAATTTTGTCTGCTTGTTTGTAAGAGGTGGTTCTTGAGCAATGTTATAGAGGAAAAGACCCTATCTCTCATGGAAGACTGTTATATTATCAGTACTAGCCTACAATCAGAAACAAAACATAAAGCGGTCAAGCTTTATGAATGTTCCAGTTGTTCTTTATGTTCACTTGTACTTTGTAATTTTTTTTGAATTTTAGGCAATTCTCCAGGTGTATAGAGGTTACGGTTTTAATTTGCATTTCTCTAGTCACTACTGACATTGAATACATCATTCACAATCTTGAACAACTTTCACATAATTTTCCTAGTTGCTGCCCGTATGTTTTCTCTGGTGAATGTTTATTCATTCTTTAACCCAAGTTTCATTTGCTGTCTTCTTCTTATTCAATTGTAAGAGTTCTTGATGTAATCTAGATACACATGCTTGATCAGATATGTGTTTTGTAAATATATTCCTTTGTTACAGAATGAAACCTGGTTCAACTTGCCTGGCACAGGAAAGCCAAACATCCACACCAAGATTTTGCAGCTAGAGAAATGAGGGCATTTATTCGCAGGGCACCAAGCAAGGAGAACTGGGTAACTCACACTTAAGACCTGATCACCCTCATGGCTTCCAAGCAAGAGTGTTTTTAAGTTAAGGGTAAATTTCAGGAAAGAAGAAGTTACAGGCAAAATTGTAAATACACACAGGAGGCTGTATATTGGATTAACCTAAAAGGGAGGGATATCTTTTAGGTAGGGCTTATAGAATGTGGGCGAATTTAAAGATCCTCTGATTTGCAATTGGTTAAGGAAGAAAAGCTTTGTCTAAAATCTTGGGGTCAGCAGAAAGGAATGTTAAGGTCTGGCATGTGGGTGTGACTTTCTCCAGGCCCCTCTAAAAGATCTCCAAAAGAGATTTAGAACAAAGACTGTTGGTAAGAGTTCAATCCTCAGTTCCCCTTTATCTGAGGTCTATGTGCTAGCAGATGGCATTTTCCATTTGGTGAGGGTCCAGTATTCTGAAAAAACAGCTCAAGGACATATGTTAAGATGTTATCTCTAGTTTTTATAGGGGGCCAGACATCCTGGGACTCTAACATTTTTGGCTATGGTTTTAAGCTGTTATTACCTTCTTGCTTATCAGATTGTTTATTTACTTCTCAGAGTTAGCTAGGTGCCTTGAATTTCCCTTGACGGAACTCAAGATTTTCTTTTCTCTCCACGATTTTTGGGGATGATGGCAGGCCCCTAAGAGGAGTTTCAACTTTGTCTGCCTTTTAGTCTGTGGTCTGTCCTTTCATTTTCTTAGCAGTGCCTTTCAAAGAACCAAAGGTTTTGAGTGATTTCAATTTATATATATTTTTATAGTTGATGTTTTCCTTCTTCTAAGAAGTATTTGCCTAACCTAAAGTTACAGGATTCTCTCCTCGGTTCTTGTATAGAAGTTTTAGAAGTTTTATAATTTCAGCCTTTAAAATTAGGCTTGTGAAATTTTTCTATCACTTTAGAAAATAATTTGGCAGTTTCTGATAAGTCAAGCATATCTTTAGCATGTGATCTGTCAATCTCACTTCTAGGAATTAACTCAAAAGAAGTAAAAACATTTATCTGTATGAAGTCCTAGGCATACATTTTTACAGTGGCTTTATTCATAATTGCCCCAAATTGTAAATAGCCCAAACATCCGTTAACTAATGAATAGATAAACAAATTGTGGTATATTCATATAGTATAATTAAAGTAAAAACTGATGCATGTAATAACATGGGGTCAGGTCAAAAGCATTATAAGGGAAAATGTCAAACACAGAAATTACATAGTACACTATTCCATTTATTGACATTTCAGAAAAATCACAGAGACAGAAACCAGATGATCATTTATCAGGTGCTAAGGGTGAGGGAAGGGGATTGATTACAAAGTGGCTAAAATAAACTTTTTGGAGAAATAGAAATGATCTATATCTCAGTTGTGTTAGTGATTGATATGGTTTGGATCTATGTCCCTGCTCAAATCTTATGCTGAATTTTAGTCCTCAGTGTTGGAGGTGGGGCCTGGCGGGGGGTAATTGGATCATGGGAATAGTTTCTCATGAATGGTTTAGCACCATCCCCTAGGTGCTGTTCTCATGATAGTGAGCGAGTTCTCACAAAATCTGGTTGCTTAAAGGTCTGTGGCACCTCCCTCCTTGCTCTCTCTTCCTCTTGCTCTGGCCATGTAAGATGTAAGATGTACCTGTGCCCCTTTGCTTTGTACCATAATTGCAAGTTTCCTGAGGCTTCCTTAGAAGCCAAGCAGATCCTGGCACCATACTTCCTGTACAGTCTTCAAAACTGTGAGCCAATTAAACCTCTTTTCCTCATAAAGTACCCTGTCTCCGGTATTTCTTTATAGCAGTGTGAGAAAAGACTAATGCAATGGTTATGTGACATTTTATGTTCTTCAAAACACATTGACCTGTATATCTAAAAATGGTGAACCTTGCTATATGTAAATTTTACGTGAAAAAAAAATCTGAGTAAATAAAATTTCTTTCAAAGGGTTCAAGCTTTTACAAAAGTATTTTCAAAGAAAAATTTTGGAATCTGTTTGGAAATCTCTCACTCACATTTTTTTCTATGAATGAGCTAATATTTTCTAGGATGTGAGGTAGTCCAACAACAAATTCCCAGCTCTCATATAGGTGGCCATAGATATTGCATAAATTTTCTCCATTTTTATTATAAACAGCACCTATGTCAGTGTTTCCAGGTAGAAAAATTAGACACATATTAGCTTTTTGCTCTTATCCTTAATAAGTTATCTGTTCAATTATTGCTGCCTTTACTGTCTTTGAATCAAATTTATCTTCTTTTCTCTCCTTTCACTATGTTAGTCTAGGCTTTTGTGCAATTTGAATTGAATCTGTACATATGATCTTAAATTGCTTTTCCTACCCATTGGCTCTAATTCTTTCAGTTCATTTTGAATATGATGACCCAAAACGTCTCAATATGCAGGCTTCATCAAATTGCCTAACATATCCTGATTATGCCTTCCATTTGCCTTTAAATGCTTTGGATAATATGGCTTCAAAGAAAATGTTCTCTAAAGAATAGGTGCTAAAGCATTTTGTTTGGTTTAGCAATTATAATGTATACTGGGAAATAAAGTAAGAATTTATTTTTTCCAAAATTATCCTCCCAAATTAAAGATATGCTTGTGTCCTTACAAAGCCTTCCAAATTTGGGGGCACTTCATCTACTACTTTATTTTGGCTAACAATATGTAATTGATGAAAGGCCTTTAGTCTTTAACGATGTCAATAAAAGCTAGTTTAGATGCTCATAGAGGTCTCTTGTTGGAGTCAAATACAGATGCTAAGAAATTTAATAGGGATTCAGTGAGGGATGTGGTCTCACTATTACTGCAAGATTATGCATTGTAAACAAGTCTTTACAAATGTTTAATTGATTTCATAAGCTAAATTAGCTAAGAATATATTTCACTATGGTTTAAGTTGGCCAACTTTCTCCTCCCTGCCTTTTGGATATTCTCTCTGTCTCTCTCTCTCTATTTATCTATTTTAGCGTCCAAATCAGTTGAGAATAACATTGATACATCTACTGCTTATCTGGATTATTTTGACTGTCACTGAAAGTTTAATCAATCCACATACTCTATATTTAGCTTCTTCAACTTCTAAAAGAAATCAACAACAGGTTTTCTATAGAATTTGGTGATGATTGACAAAATTTTGGTGACTTAGTTCATAAAATGCCATAGGTTATAACAAAATGCCATAGGTTGAGCAGTTTATAAAGAACAGAAATTAATTCCTCACAATTCTGGAGGCTGGAAGTCTGAGACCAGGGTGCCTGCACAGGTGAGAGCCTTTTTGCAGGTGGCAGATAGTCAACTTCTCATATACTCGCATGGTGGAAAGAGAGAGCTCTCCAGATTCTCTTTTATAAGGGCACTAATCAAATTCATAGAGGCTCCACCCTCATGACCTAATTACATCCAAAGGCCTCATCTCTTAATAACATCACACAGGGGATTAGGATTTCAATGCATGAATTTTTGGGGGACACAAATATCCAGTTTATCACAGCTGGATTTATTGAGCTCTTGATACCGAAAAGTTTTGGAAATATCTATGCTTGTACCACTTTCTCCTCTCATTAGTCTATGGGAGTACCTTCATAGAAAAATTGAAGCTTTATAGAAAATTGAATTCTTAGAAAACCTTTAGGACTTTGCATTTTTTCAATCATATCCAAACATCTGTTAGAATTTGCCCTTTTCTTATAGCCATTTTTACAACATAATCAATAAAATATGTAATGTACACTGGATAGAGAAGTCAGTTGATATTTAGGAGTCTTTGGCTTTAGCCCTGGGTCTCTAGTCACTTTCCCCTGGGCTTTGATTAGTCACCCTTCAAATGGAGAAGGCAGGTGATACGGTTTGGCTGTGTCCCCACCCAAATCTTACCTTGAATCGTAATAATCCCCATGTGTAAAGGGTGGAGCCTGGTGTAGATCACTGAATCATGAGGGTGATTTCCCCCATATTGTTCTCGTGGTAGTGAATAAGTCTCATGAGATCTGTTGGTTTTATAAATGGGAGGTTTCCTGCACAAGTTCTCTTGCCTGCTGCCATGTAAGACATGACTTTGCTCCTCATTCATCTTCTGCCATGATTGTGAGGCCTCCCTAGCCATGTAGAACTGTGAGTCAATTAAATCTCTTTTCTTTATAAATTACCCAGTCTTGGGTGTGTCTTTATCGGCAGCGTGAGGACAGACTAATACAGTAGGACTGGAAGTTGTGCAGAATCCTTTCAGGCTTTAACACTGATCATATGTTGTTCATAACCATGACAGATACTTACATAGATGTGATATCCTCAATATACTCAATATTTGCTATACTTTCCTTTCTTTTAGTTGCAAAATTAATATTTTATTATATGCAGATGGCCTAAAAGATGGGGGCATATTGGATGTTTATTGTGGCTTAGAGTAGAAAAGACAATACCAAAAGTTTATTTTTTCCTCTCTGCTGTAGGAGGGCTTGTGAGGGGTTGAGCCCTATTCGCATTGTTAACAAATGTTAATGCAAACAGAGGTGAGTCAGCATATCAGTGACTCATAAATAACTGTCATAATTGGGCTCACATTTATACATTTTTCTTGTGAGGAGGAAAACAAGCAGAGATAGGAATAATTTTATGATTTTGTGATGATAAATACCTCAATAAGTAGTCATACAGTCAGGATTAGATGCTACCAATTAACTTTGTGACCAGAAAAGATCCCCCTGTGGGCTTGGGGATCCTGTATTTACACTAAAAGTCTTAGCGACCCAAGCCCACGGAGGATCTGAGTGGCAGAGTGTGTGGACAGGTGACCTATTTTCTGCTCTAGGTTTGTGGAAGTTATTACTTTTCCTTTCATGCTTAAATATCTTATATTCATTCCCTCTCATAACTAATATTCTCTATTTCGACTTAGATTTTCCCTCATAGAAGCATGATGGTTTTACTGCTGCAGTGAAATTATTTAGGTCTGTAAGTCAAAACTTTTCAAACTATAGAAGGATGATCCAGTTATCTTTCTGAGCAGTAACCATAATTCTCAGACATAAAATCAATATATTCCAGTGAAATCGATAAATATAAAACATAAGTGGACTTCAGAAAACCCAGAGAAACCAGACTACACTGTTTTCAAATTCATCTAAGATTTACTGTGGACCCTTCATGTATCAGGCATTTCTCTAGAATTTCAGAAAATCTAAACACAGTGACGACCTAGGAGAAACTTCTTCCCAGGTAAAGAATATTCCGAAGAGAGTATCTCAATTGTTTACTGAGAAGTATAATTATTACAAGATTTTCTTCCCACCCAACATAGAGCTCATTTTGACACGTGGAAGGCTAGAAGATATCTTGTAGGGGAGGGACCTTTGTGACTTTATGTGCTTTCCCAACTTATCTGTAAAAATATCTCCTCCCGCATAACCTAACTTTTTAGCCTAACTGGGTAGCCAACTATCGTTTTATTAATTTTAGCAAAAATATCTATGGTTGTGTGTGTGCATGTGTGCATGCATGTGTGCTTGTGTGTTTGTGTTGCTCTGCTTAATAAATTGAGATGAAATTTGTGCTTACTCTGGCATTAGTTGAGAAAGGGAATAAGTGAAAGAAGCTGAAGTTGTAAAGAGATAGAGGAGATAAGGCAGGGTTCTAGAAGTGAAAAACTCCCTGTAGTGTGAATGGGTTTAGACAAAGGGATATGAAATGCTCAATTTTATGTTTGAAGTTCTGTTAGGCTTCTGTGTAACACTGTACTGTTACTTTTTGAATCTCTAATAAAAGCCTATTATTTAAAACTGCTTGGTGAGAGTGGTATTTGCCAGAAATCAAGATTAAAAGAGACTGTGTACGAGTTGGAGTCAACATAGGTTTGAAGGAAGTTACAGTTGCTAGAGGAAAGATAAAAGTGAGTTGGGAAAATCAGGAGAGGCAGGGAAGGCTCAGAGCTAGAAGTACAGGTACTTAGGAGAAATGTGAGCCCTGACTAACTCCTGTAATTGGGCCTGAATCGTTTTGCTTTCTTCTCTGGGTTTGTGGGAGTTATGACTTTCCCTTTCATGCTTAGAGGCCTTGAAGACATGGACATGGAAGTAACCACCTGGACTGAGATAGAGAAAAATTCTGAAAGTAATATTTATAAATTTAGAATTGCTCCTCCGAAAATCTCTCAAGAAACATTATGACGTCATATCAGCAAGATGGCAGAGTAAAAGATCCCAGTCTTTGTCCCCTATAAGAAAGAATTAGATAGCTCCCCATGAATTAAAATAGCCCTGAGAGCGCTCAGGAGCCAAATGAGGACGCTGCGGCAACACAGTAGAATGAAATAATGGAGACTAACTCCACAGAAAGGATAGGGAGTATAGTTTCATTCTGCCTGCATCATTCCATCCTCCATGCAACATGGCATATGCCAAAAAGATTCTCCTGGGCCCTGAAGTTTTCCTCATGGAGAAAAAGTACAGCAAGTGACCTACCAGCTACCCTATCTTTTCAGGTCACTTCTCTAATGACCTGCTTCAGCTTCACTGCACCCAGATTGCTGGGAAGATGCATGCTCAGTATATCTGGGATGTCTGGAGACAGCTGGAACAAAGAAGAGCTGCAGGAGCTGTGAGTGTCAGTCACAGCGTGGGTACCACTCTGGTCCTCAGTGGCCTGCTCTTCAAAGGACCCCAGCAGCCTTCACTGCTGAGGACCTCAGTAACCCTCATGGTCACCAGAGAATCCTCA